ATTACCATGCCACTTGTTAATATCATCATACAAAGTCAAATATGAATAAATATATTCATATTTTCCAACTTTGCCCTTGTATTTTTCTAAAAATTATAATCTTGCCACTTTAATCCAACGGTCCCGATTTAACAAGAAAAATCAATCTTAAATTCAATGAACCATGTTAAATTTTAACATTTTAAAACATGGAAATGACATTATTAACCTTTCTCTATCATCCTTCATAGTATCTTAAAAATTCGATTCGATCCGATTATCCGAAATTTTTCTCGAACTTTATCCCTTTATAGCCTAATACAAATTTCAGATCAAAAATCCGAAACCCATGAAAACATCATTCTTGGAGGTAAACTATTCATTTATGGGGCAAAAATACATAACTTTTGAAAAATTACACTTTGGTCCCTAAACTTTTTCAAAATTTATAATTTACTACTAAACTTTCAAAAATTATATTTAGGTCACTAGACAAAATTTAGGATATTACACACATTTTTCTAAAAAATAAAACGTTGGGTAAAAAATATAGAAGGCAAAATGACCATTTGTGTAAATGTTGTGAGGTCATTTTGTTGTTATGCCTAATATATTCTAGATTTAAGAATGCATTTTGATCTGTAGTGAGAGAAGGTGCACCCACTCGACCAAAATGAGAAAATAATAGTGATGTGAACCATTCATCTGTGATTGATATGAAAAATATGATTGTGAGGCATGAGTGCTTGATTGTAAATTGTATGTGTATGTTTGTTTAATCCGACGCTATTTGAAACCGAACAATTTGATCTCGAGGCTCACGTGGAAGTTAAACTGAATCTATGTGTTACTGGTTTTTTACCACTATGTTAGATGCCATGTTAGATCAGGCAGTCACACGCACTCTCGTGACAGAAATTATTACTGATAGTGTGTTATCGGGATTCCCTTTTTTTTTAATTAATCACTAGTATCCGGATTTATTAATTGATGAATCCAGATCAAGTACTGCAGAGACGAGGGCGACCCTCTCAATCCAGTTTGCTCCATTCGCAAATACTAGAATTCAAACCTCTGACCTTGCTTAAGAAACCTAGTGCCTCATCCCACCAAACCAACTGGTTGTTGGTGTTGGCATCCCCTACTCTAGTCATCGATGTTATGTGATATCATATGCTAATTGTGATAAATGTGTCATTATGTAAAATGAGCGGTACTTAAGTAGGGGTGTTCAAACGAATAATTTGGTTATTAATCGAATTGAATTAACTGAACTTTTTTATTTAACTGTGAACTAAACTGAATTTTTTTTAAAATATTAACATAACTGAATAAAGTTTGGTTATTTCGGTTGGTTAACCGAATTAACCAGAAATTTTAATACTTTTTTCATTATATTAATTTGAATATAATAAAAGTATTTTTTATTTATGTTAAAGTTTAATTAGGTATTCAAATTTAATGAGCCTAGCCTAAAAAATAAGTGGGTATTAACTCTTAATGGGTTTGTAGCTTAACATATGTATTTAATATATAGAATATATTTAATAATTTTAGTTAATGCGGTTAATTAACCAATTTCACACCAAATTACCTGTTAATCGAATATTGAAAAAATATTAACATTATCCGACCGAACTAATTTGTTGTCAGTTGAATTAGCCGAACTAATTCGGTTCAGTCAATTAATTCGGTTAAAATTGAAAAATAAACCTCTTTCCTTAAGCTTACAAAAAAAAACCCAGTGCATGACTTAATTTTAGAAAAATATTTAGTTTTGAAAATTAGTTTATTGATATTTGGATTAAATATTGAAAATCTAAAAATAATTTTAAAAAGTCAATGAATAATATAAATTCATTTTTAAAGTCTACAAATATTGTGACATGTGTCATATCGCTCGAAGTGATGCTATAATATATGTTATGTGAATCGAAAATAATGATGTGTTATATGTCACATCACTTAATATAATGATGTGATATTTATCACATCACCAATCTAATACAAGTGAAAATATTAAGTCAGTAGCACATGTTAAGTGTTAGTCAAATAATGATTTCCATCCATCATACGTTATTTTGATAAAAATTAAGATATTAAAATTAAAATATTAAAAAAAGAATATGAGTCAAAGTTATCATTTATACAAATGTCGAGAGTAATTTTGTCATCATAACAAATTTTTAATTAGTCCAACATTTCTTTTGAGTTTCAAATGTAATGACTTATTCGTATAATCGTATTTGATCAACTATGAGTGTTTTTATCTTTTTAATTTTAAGTGATTATAAAGTAATATATATTTAATTTTTTAATAATTAATAATATTTAATAAATATAACTGTTTGAATTCAAAACCTTATAAAAGAACAATATTCTATTCAATCGTACGAAAATAAGCGTTACATAACTCTTAGGTGGCGTTTGGTTGGATGGAATCCCTTGAAATTGGTGGGAATTGGAATCCAATTCCACCACTTTCCCATGTTTGGTTCAAGTTTTTCAAGGGAATTGGAATCCCTGATGGAATTCAATTCCATCAAATGAGGGAAAGTGAATTCCATCCAAAATGAATGAAATTCAATTCCCTTGTTGGAGGGAATTTAAATTTGACCATACTACCCTCATCAATCCTTTGGTAACTTATTCATATATTGAATAAAAATATTTTTTATTATTTCGGGTCGGGTTTCTAATTCATATATTCGGGTTGGGTCGGGTCGGGTTCAAGTTTAGGGTGAAAAAACCGGACCGACCCGAAAATATATATAATTCAGGTCGGGTTGGATTAAGTCAATGTTTTTATTAAATAAAAATATTTTTTTATTATTTTGAGTCGGGTCGGGTTAGATTTCTAATTCATATATTCGGGTCGGGTCGGATGAAACTTTATTTTATTCGGGTCGGGTTTTTTAAGTGTAATATTCGGGTCGAGTCGGGTCGGGTTTTTTTAAGTGTGATATTCGGGTCGGGTCGAGTTGGGTTCGGGTTTAGGGTGAAAAAAACCGGACCAACCCGAAAATATATATAATTCGGGTCGGGTCGGGTCGGGTTTAGGGTGAAAAAAATCAGACTGACCCGAAAAAAAATATATAATTTTACCTTATATATTTAGGAATAATTACAATAATACCCCTCTATATATAATTTTTTTCAATTAAGTCAATGTTTTTATTGAATAAAAATAATTTTTTTATTATTTTGAGTCGTGTCGGGACGAGTTTCTAATTCACATATTGAATAAAAATAGTTTTTGGTATATTTTATGGTAACTAATTAACATACTCTGATTGGAATGTATCGAAATATTGCTCTATCTTTTGGTAACTTATTAACATATTTTGATTGCGATGATTTAACTTGTAATGTTTATTAGCATGACTTTTATAATTTATTGAAATGAATAATCAATCAATAAAATGAAAATTTAATAATTTTAAATTTTTTATAATATATTACTACATGTAAGTTGTAAAATAAACTAAAATAAAGAAAAAAAAAACAAAAAGGACAATTTTTTCATTTTATATTACTGAAATCAAATTTATCTGACATGTCTGCGAACCTAACAGAATATGGAATTGGATTCCAATTCCATTTCCTGCCAACCAAACAGAATATGGAATTAGATTCCAATTCCTACAGATTTCAATTCCTTCACAGATTCTAATTCTCTCATAAACATTCCAGCGAACCAAACGCCACCATAGTGTTTGCAACTTCACTGTAATCACGTAGTTGAGTTAACAAAAGTAGATTGAAAAATCACGTTGTTGAGTTAACAAAAAAAATATTGAAAAAAATATTCTACAAATCAAATGATTGTTTTACAAATTTTTATAGTCAAATAATAAAAAGAGTACTATGATGATTATTGTGGAGTTTTTTCCCCTCTTAAAAGAGGTTTTCTCTTGAACTGAAATTATATAAGAATAAATTATAAATTTGATAACTGAACTTTCATATGATTCTTATTTATTCACCATACTTTTAAAATTTTTTAATTTGCTCACTAAACTTTATAAATTGAGTTTTTTTTGTCACTCGATCGTTAAACTTCCCATGTCGTTATGATGTAGCTTAGAGAAATAACTTTTTAATCGTTAAAAGCCATAGACGCTATGACATGTCAGAAAAAAAGGTAAATTACAAATTTGATAACTGAACTTTTATATAATTCTTATTTTGCTCACTCAACTTTATAGATTGAGTTTTTTTTGGTTAGTCTGCTGTTAAACTTCTCGTCGCCAACGATCATCCATTGCTGCTCACATCGCTAAACCCATCTTCGGCCAACAATGGCTCGCACCGCCACCTCAGTAGCACCGATGTCGCCTCCCGATCGAAGCCCTACCCTTCATAGTTAATGAAAGCCTATTGGGTGACCCGTCGTTGATCTCCGTCGTTGTTGGATGGTAATCATCGCCGCCAGTACCAGTGTTAGCGACAGGCCACCACGACCAAAACCCTGTGGCTAATAGTCAAGGCTCCTCGTCGTTCGTCGTATAAAAACTGTCGAAGGTTTTTCTGGAAACCAAAGCTTCCCATCGATTTTCAACCACCCATGTCATTCTTTCGTCTCACCGCTGCCACTATTAAAGTCCTCTCCTCTTTCCAACCAAAACCCAGTCAATTTGCCCTCTCATCGTCTCTGTCTTCATCATCATCCATTGGGTAAGTAATTTGAACCTGTTTTCCTGCCACCTTGCGTCTGTTCGTCTCACCTCAGTAAAAAAATCAACTATAAAGTTGAGTGAGAAAATTAAAATTTTTGAAAGTACGTTGAATAAAATATGAATCATATGAAAGTTCAATTATCAAATGTATAACAATAGAGTGACAAAAAAATTCAATCCATAAAGTTGAGTTAGCAAATTAAACATTTTGAAAGTATGGTGAGTAAAATAGAAATTGGATGAAAGTACAGTTACCAAATTTGTAATTTACGCATTATATAAATACCCTCGTACTCCGGGATTGGAGGTCCATCGTCGTCTACCTTATAACAGAAATCAGTCTGCTACAAATTAAACCCTAACTCTGAAAAAAGGACCCTTTCCTTCGTAAACACAAAATCCAGCTTTGTTTTGGTTTGATCTTTGGCTAGTTTTATTTTTTCCCATTCATTTCTCTGATAGAAATGGTTGGAAATTGCTGCTAGGCTGATGCCAACGTGTGTGTATTTTTTCGGATTAGAGGAATCATGTCTTTTGGTGTCGGTAGGAAAGAGACCCAGCAGCCAGCGCCGCCGAGCACTGTTCACAACGGAAATTTGGTCGGGGTATTGCCAGGCATGGCGACGGCACACCGTTTACGGCTGAACCCTAACACAGAGCATAAGCCGGAGAGCTACGAGGGTTTGCACTTGGAGTTTAGTCCGCTTCTGTTCAGCTCACTGGAACGTTACTTGCCTCCTCCGATGCTCTCACTCCCTCGCGATTCCAAGCTCCATTACATGCGCGATATCATCCTTCGTTACTCTCCTGATGGCGAGCGTACTCGAGTAAGCCTTTTTGTTTATCTCCTTTTAACCCTTATATTGTATGCTTGATTGTCAGGGTCTATAATTTCGTTCTTTTTGAATGTAACCTTGCACATTATGATTTTTATAGCCGATGAGATTAAAATGTATATTTTTAAATGTTGTTATGTTAGCATTCTGTTAAACTTTCAGAATTTATGTTCATGAAGGTGAAAATCTGTTTTTTTTTTTATAATGCGATATCAGAAATATAACCTTTTAAAAATAATTTTTCGCTGGCAAGTGAAAATGGTTGGTGCCTTTTTTAATCCATTTTTGATTCATTGGGAAAAAAGTGGACGTCTACCGAAAAAATGTAGGAAAAAAGGGGATATTTTTTAATTTCTTATTTTGAATTATGAGTTGCCTAATGTTGCTTGGATCAGTAGGAATTGATATGTTTATCGATCTGTGGGGGGATTTTATGCATCCTATTTTCGATGGTCGATATGCTTATATACTTTTTCAGTGATTTTATGTTGGTCAAATTTTGTCATTACATGCTTTGTTTTCAGCCTTTAGTTGAAGCTAAGCTATATGGTGTGCAGATATTAATCTCTATTCATTTTCCTTTTCCATTTATATTTACTTTTTTCACTGTTTAAAAAAATTTGTAAACAGGTTCAAAGGCATCGGGAATACAGGCAGAAGATTATATCAAATTATCAGGTGCATAGTATAATTATCGTCTGGCCATTATTAATTTATGCCTGCAAAAACTCAAAACTATACCCGATTTCTGAGATATATGACGATGGTCAAACTACATATAGTTTCCTCATAGCGTCTTATCTTTGTAAAGTCTATATTTATATTCTTCTCTGCTTATTTGATCTATTCTTTTTGTAGCCTCTGCATAGGGAATTGTATACCATGCATGCCTCAAACTTCTTTGTCCCTTCATTTCTCAAAGCAATTAATGAGAATAAAGAGGAAGGCTTTAGAAGTATAATGGCTGAACCTATGCCAGGGGTTTTTACTTTTGAAATGTTTCAGCCCCGTTTCTGTGAATTGTTATTATCTGAGGTATAATATCATTGCTGTCTCTCTCTCCTTCTCTCTCAATTTTACTTAGCTTTCTTGTTTTTTTAGTTTTTATATTTATCTTATCAGGATCTGATTGCTTAGGTTGAAAACTTTGAAAAATGGGTCCATGAGACAAAGTTCAGAATCATGAGACCAAACACGATGAACAAATTTGGTGCTGTTTTAGATGACTTTGGCCTGGAGACCATGCTTGACAAGTTGATGGAGGACTTTATCCGACCTATATCCAGAGGTACTTAATTTTTCTTTCATAATGAGATTGTAAATGCTTGCTAATATGTATTTACATTTAAAGCTTAGACCATCATATTCTTTTATATATCTTGAGAAATGGTTTGCAGTATTCTATTCTGACGTGGGTGGATCTACGTTGGATTCTCATCATGGCTTTGTTGTTGAATATGGAATTGACAGGGACGTTGAGCTTGGTATGTTCCGATTTCTGTTCTCTTCTTAGGAATGGTTCTCGGAAGTGCTTAGAATGTCTCTAGTTTATAATGTAAGCTGTTCTATTTATCATTCACTACCTGAGGAAGCATTAGCTATTGGTAGATGGAAACTGATGATTCTATGGAGTCTACTGTTAAAGTGTTTAGAACGTATTGCACAAAATATTTGCATCAGTCCGTTAACTTTGCTTTCTCTATTGCTTGTTACTTTTTTTCTTATCAATTGATGGCATCATCTGTTTTTTTTTTTTTTTAATATTTCATGCTCATCATCTTCTTCTCCCACACCCCTTGGTGATCATTAATTTCACCTGTCTTGGTTATGCTTTTTCCTAATTTTTTTAATTTTTGTGCACATTAAAATTTTATTTATTGAATGTTTGTTCTGCTAATCTGTTTGTTTATAACACTACCTCTGTTTTGGTGTGTATATTGTTTATTCTTTTAGCTTTATATCTTCTTGTTAAACTTTTTGCTTCACAAAGTTCCGTAATCTTATGTTTGTAGGTTTCCATGTGGACGATTCAGAAGTCACCTTAAATGTTTGCTTGGGTGAAAAATTCTCTGGTGGGGACTTGTTCTTTCGAGGTGTTAGGTGTGATAAGCATGTCAATTCAGAAACCCAGTCGGATGTATGCTAATCCTTCTAATTTGTTCTTCCTTTATTCATTCTAATTTACCGTAATGAAAGCTTAATCATATGCTCTATAATTGCCCTGGGACAAAGTATAGTCAGTTTGATAAAAAAAAGTTCCATATAGTACTGAGTCGACAAGAACCAACAATCTGACAAAACCCCTCCCCATTTCTTCAAATTTGAAATATCATAAGAATATTTATTCAAAACAAGATATCATAAGAATACCAAAAGAGCCTATTATGCTTCTTTTAGTCTATGGCTGTTTTCTTTTGTAAACGAGAGCATGAAATAACAAATTGGTTAAAAAATGAATTGAAGATATCTCTTCCAGTTTGTAATCTCCTGGGACAAGAGAGAGAAAGCATAGTCTTTAAATAGTTTTTTTTTTAGTTATTGATTCCTTGAATAAAAGATATATACTGGTAATTTTTCTAATTTAATATGCTACTGTGACAAAAACGTGATATGTTTCTTGTGCATTATAGGAAATTTTGGATTATTCACATGTCCCAGGACATGCAGTTCTTCATCGTGGGCGCCATAGGCATGGTGCAAGAGCCACAACATCTGGTCACCGGATCAACTTACTTTTGTGGTGTAGAAGGTATCTTTCTCCTGCCCTTATTATAAATCTGCCAAACATGTAAAAACCTTTCGGAGGGATTACTAGATTGGTCCCTCTTAAAGTTGCGATAGCAACCATGAGTTACTTCTAGAAATTGAAAGAGATTGCCTCTTGAATAGAACTTATTCATTGGCCTGCACTGTCTTGGACTTGTTTTGGTGTTGAAATGTAGTAAAGTTGCCGTGAACTGAAAATTTAATTTAGCTGGCATTTGCATTCTTTCCTCGGATAATGGTGCTACTCGATATTCTCTGAGTTTTAATGTGTGAATGCTGGGCTTCATGGGCAGTGCACATTCCTTAATTTGATTTGTAAGTTTATTTTCTTCCAGTTCGGTCTTTCGTGAGCTGAGGAAATACCAGAAAGATTTCTCAAGCTGGTGTGGAGAGTGCCAACGAGAGAGAAAAGAACGACAGCGCGTCTCGATCGCTGCAACCAAACAGGTATATATAGCAAAGTGCATGTAAATGGCTTGTGTGCAAAATCAAAATATTAATGTTTGGCATCTACTTTTATCAGGAACTACTGAGGAGGGGAGGGAAACCCGGGACCTGAACATGAGATGTTGGCGAGATTTTAAAATAAGCTTGGGATCATTCCTTCAAACTCATGGTAAAATTTAGTTGTCTTGTTAATTTGGTAAATTAGGCTGGTAAAAGATGAAGGGTGAATGCTTGTACTTGAGTGCTGTACATCCGTGTTTTGCAAGTTATGAGTTCAACGTGTATTTACTACACATCAGAATGGCAAGCAGTACTTTCCTTTCAAATTCTCCATATTTCATCATCTACTTTTATCTGATTTTCATTTTCTTCTTTCTCAATTTTATCATTTTGATTTCAATCACATCTTTTCTTATCATTATGTCGTTTTTGATATCTTAGTGATATTTCTTTTGCTAAAAATAAATTATTTGAATCAATTATTATAAATATAGGTCACATAATTGTGCCCTTAGTCATAAGTATTCAAAACACTTTGGGAGGGTAAACCTCCACACGTGCAAGACACTTTTGGAGGGTGAAAATAGGGGTGTAAATGAGCATAACCTTCGGTGAATTGTTAATATAACATTGGTTTATGTTCGATTGTTAAGTTAAATAGCGATTATGAATAAAATTTGTGTTGTTTAATAAACGAATAAATATGAATAAAGGTGCGTTCGGTTTGTTTATGAGTTTGTTTATTGACTCATTTGTTTAAGTTTATGAACAATTTTGTTTATTTTTTTATTCTTTTATGTTTTAAATATTGGTGAATATAGAGACTAAATTGAACATATAGTGAAATTTGAAGTTTAAACTATGAAGTTTTAAGCATTAGTGGTGTAATTCTAGCATTTTTTAGCTTGAAAATGAACATGTTTGTGAACATATAAATGAACGCTAAACATACACTATATGAACATGTTTGTAAATGTTAATTGAATATATTTGTGGACATATAAATGAAAATGTTTACAAACGTCAAATGAACAAATATCTTTAAAATTAAATAAATAAATATGATATTACAAATTTAAATCAACATAAATTGAATAATATAAATATAATCTTATTGATATAAATTCTATTTATTTACACCCTATCCCTTAAGAATGTCGGAGGAAATTAGTGGAGAAAATGGGATAAAGCTACTATCAGTTTTAACTGAGAGTGTCACTTCAGTTCAACTTTAACCAAAACTTTATTCACTACCTATTCAGTGCGTGGTTGAATCATTATAATTTTTCGATTAATTAAGTGTAATTAATTTTTTTTATAATTTATTAATATTCTTTATTTATTTTAGAATTTTGATGCCAATTTGGCAGTTTTAAGGAGTGGACGATCATATGTTAACTCCTACATTAGTTTGCCTCTTCTCCCTCGTATTGGAGATACTGAATTTGATATTTTGGAGTATTGGAAAATAAAAAGTGTTTCTTATCCGGTACTTTCTCGCATGACGAGAGATATATTGGTCATTCCAATTACTTCAGTTGCTTTTGATTTTTCCTTTAGTATGGGAGTCAAATTTTGAACAAATTGAGATCCAAACTCTTACCTAAAAATGTTGAGGTTTTTGTAACAACTAGTAATTGGTTGTATGGTTTCGAACCGAAGGAAAAGGATGAAGATTATCTTACTATAGTTATTGAATCTTCCCTTTAAAGTTAAATATATTATTTACTTTTTTATGTTAATTTGATTAATATTTGTAATTGCTTATTAATTTATTTATTTTTACTTTTGTAGGGAGTATTTACGCTAAGTAAATACATTTAAATTGGGTTGTGAAAGATTCTGTCTTCATATTCTCTTCAAATGTAACTTAATATTTTATATTTATTATGTTTATTTAATAAAAATTTCAAATAGTTCATTAATAATTCTATTTTTTTGTAGGGTGCCTTACAACAAGCAATAGTTTGTGCTTGATATTGCTTGATTCTGTTTTATATTGTTTGATTCTGCTTGATATTGCTTGATATTTGTAAGGGTTTGGTAAAGTCGAAAATGTTTAACACTGTTGCCCATCGAATTCCCTTTGACTTTACCACTGATTGTATGCTTTCTGAATGCAAGATGCTTGCTGAATTGATTCAATGATGCTTGCTGAATTGATACAGTGATGCTTGCTGAATTGATACAGTGATGCTTGCTGAATTGATACAGTGATGCTTGCTGAATTGATACAGTGATGCTTGTTGGTTACTGTTATCTGTTGCCCACTGATGCCTTGTAAATTATTGTTGTTGGTCTAACTTAAATCAATTTTTGTACGTTGTAAATTCTTATATAAATATTTACTCATGTTAAATTATGTTGGTGGCATTTTGGCTTTTAAAGCTGGAAAGTTGCCCAATAATTAAACATGTCGGCAACATTTAGGTATAAATGCTAGATGATGAAATTTCTGGTAGTAAAGTTAGGCTTTTAGCCTTGTAAAACCTTAGCTATAAGATCTAAGAGCATTTATTTTAACATAAATTTTATTTTTTAGTTGAGTTTATTGTAATTTTAGTGTATTAAAGTGTGATAAAATTTATTTATTTATGTATAATTTTTTAGTATTTGTTATGTTATTCAAGTTATTAATTTTATTGTATTAAAGTGTGGTAAAATATTATGTTATTTAATTTTTATAATCTTTAATAAGTTCATAATTTCATCTTATATATATTTATTTTAAAATTTTAAGTTAAATTATAAATCAATTTTCACATTATAAGTAAATTAGATTTATGAATATTTTAATCCAATTTATATAATCTAATAAAATCATGTTCAATAAGACTAACTAAATTTAATTTAATGATTATAAATAAAATTTATAATATAAGAAGTATAATTAATATAAAAACCAAATTTATAATATACAAATTATAATTAATATAAGAACTAAATTTCAAAAAGTAATCATATTAATTTAATTATCATAAGTTTATAATAAATTTAAAATAACATAATTATATTAATTGTAAATTATTACTTATAAGTCAAGTAAATATCAAGTCAGGTAAATATCAGATCTGTTCAACAACAAGTTGGATAATTTACAGGTTGAGTCAATTACAGGTCAGGTTGAAAACAGGTAGGGTAATACCCGTTATTTACCAGGTTAATCTCGGGTTCGGGTTCATATCAGTCAGATTCATGTCGGGTTCAGTTATCATATTTTCGGATTAATTTGGGCTCAAGTCGTTCTCAGATCGGATGCAAGTCGAGCTTAGGTCCACAATTTCTAGGTCCAATTCGGGTTCAGGTCAATACCAGTTTCGACTCGAGTGGGTTTCGGATCACCACTACTTAGGTCACAAGCAATTTTGACTCGAGTCAATTTCAGTTAGTTTTACAGGTCAGATCAACTTTTTACAACTATACTGACAACCGACTCGAAAATTCACCAAATCAGTCTACGATTTTATAAGGGTACTACCAACGTCAAACTTCAATTGGAAACTTTCAAAAAGTACGAAGCTAATTAAATCACATTCTTGCTATCTAACACTATACACTCGGTACATTCCACATGGATGATATTCTCCAAGATTCACTCCTATCACTAAATCCCTTTTATGGCTAACCTTACTCAATTGAGTTAACTCACTACATAACCCAACAACCTCACTCAATTGAGTTAACTCACTACATAACCTAACAACCTCTTTTACTTGTTGAACATAGACAACTCATCATGCCATACCTTGAGATCTTACGACACTTGCCAACATTGTCTCGATACCAACTACTAAGAAGGTGATGATGATTCTCAACCAAGGTTGATCTCTACGCTTCTGCTGCACTACTCTAATTCAATACTCATCCTCAAAACCTGACCATTTCTCATATACCTTGCATCCTACATAATCTTTTCTCACCTAATCAAGCATCTAAGGTACTTTGATGTGATCCTGTCTAGCACCAACTTTCTTCATGACATACTCACATCATTGAAGATCCATCAAGTTCAATATAAGGGAGTTCTACCATACTTTATATTTATTTACTCATTTATGCACTATATATTATTATGAGCATACATTTGCATATTAAACTATGCTCGAATAATCATATGTTATCATTCACTTGCATACTATATGATTTTCATGCATAATATATGTTTCCACATCTTTACTTAGCTTTATATTATTTTTAGATATGTTTTAGATTTATTTATTATGTTTGCATATCATTTACATATCATGGCAGTATGTATTCATTCATTTATTAGCTCATGTCATGTTATTCTAGCTCATGTTATGTTTACGTTAGCTCACTAGCTTTAAATCCATGTTTCTTTAGCTCATTTGCATGTATGCATCTCTTTTCTAGCTCATACATGTTTTCTTAAAGATCATGAACGTCCTATGCCTATTATCTAGCTTATATACATGTTATCTTAGCTTCTAGAAGATCAATCATAACTCATACCACTCAAACACCTCACGGCAACATGCATTTTACCTTAAATGAGCTCACACATTGCTTACTTTATTTATTTGTTGATTCTTATAGGTGAAACACAAAGCAAGGCATATTATGGTAGCTTGGTTAGCTAAAAGGACAAGCACAACAACTCACACTAGTTCATGAATGTTATGGCAGCTCATTTCATCATTTGGGGAGCTTCAACTTAGCTAAAGCAGCTAGCATGTAGCTGAACTTAGCTGGAGGAGAGCTTTGGATCAAATTACTGAAAAGTGGACTAAAGGTAGCTGGAAGTAGCTGAGGAGCTGAGAAGACCAAAGCTAACTAGCTTGAGTTCATCTAGCTATAAACTCACCTAGTTAGCTACCAAGACACTCACCTAGCTAGCTACCAAGACACTCACCTAGCTTACCTTGAAGCTAGTTCATCTCTAGGCTGCCCATGGACTTCAAGACATTATCCTATGGCTGCAACCTAACCAAAGCATTGGAAGAAGACTCATGTGCATTCATGTAGGATGCCATGTGCATCATTCAAACATGCGCACTCTATGTGACATCAAATAGGTGCCAAAACACCAAGGGATTTTCATCCTTAGGCCGAACCAACACCTTACCATTCGGCCAAGAGCATTTATCTTCATTAAAATCATGTATTTTCATTATAAAAAATCATGTAGTTTCAAAGGGGTTTCATCCATAACCGAACCATCATGTATCTATTAGGCCTAAACCCTTTGAAAACTATAAATATGCTTTGGCATTTCATTTGTAACT